TGGTTTCAACTGGAATCAATCATTGAATCGCTTTTAATCAATATTTATGCTCGGCAATTATGCTCCAGAATAGCTTTCCCCTTTTCTCACTCTTTTCAGCGTGTTCTTTGGCGTTTATTTTATAGCCCCGGTTTAGTGTTTTAATCAATAAATTAGAGTTTGAACAGAGGATTATTGTATCCCCATTCTATGCTTTTCTATTCGTATCAATTAATATTTAACGAGGAAATGCCATTTTAGTACCATTGTTCCCTTTTTCTGCTTCTGCCTCTGCTTCTGCTTCTGCTCTTCTATATGGAATTATGGCCAACGGAATTTCATTAGGGCTCAGCTGAATAAAAAGCAAGTGTGAGAGAGACAAACTGTGACTATCTCGATCGTATCTCGTTTAATTATACAAAAAAAGATGATAAGATAGTAAATTGGTTTTTATTAAATGAATAAAAAGTAATGCTAATCAACTCTGAACTGATAAGAAGTAACCAAAAAGTTAAAAGTTGGTTAGGCAAGCAATGTAAGTTCCAGTATTATTTGCACAGAGTATAGAATCTCCCCTCGGTTTTCTCACCCACACCAATCGCATGGCGACCATCCTTAGCATTAGCATTAGCATTAGCATTATCACCATAACCGCACCTCAAATCCGAATCCCAGGCCATCAGAAGAATCTATTCCGAGGGTCGCACGCGGTGCAATCCAAATGCCAAACAACAAATCAAGGCAAAAAACAGAAAACGAGCAGAGTGCATAAAGCAAGCGGGAAAACAAGAGTCAAATGCAAAGAATAAACAAAGGGAAACCCCCCTTTTCACCGAAAACTCGCTGCTTAAACAACAATTGCAGGGCGAAGAGCATCTGAGCATCTGGGCACACATGTGCCTCCAAATTATTCACACCTCCTCCGCGTTCTCCACCACGAAGTTCTCCCCCAGCTCAACCACGCCCACTCGAGACGCACGCCCCTCTATAATTTTCCCTACCCACCTCATTTTTTTTTTTATTTGCCCCACCGCCAACTCCAATTTCAACTCTGAACACCGAACACTGAACACTGAGTACTGAGTACTGAACACCGCATTATTATTTTAATTGCACATAAAAAACAACATGGCAACAAGCACATATGCACGAACATAAAGCCTCAACAGATCGGCCCAAAGCATTAGGCAGCCCTCTGCCTGAGTTACTAAAGGTTTCTCAATGCGAACTCTGAATATTATTTCTGGCAACAGAGTCTACAGCAAACTGAGCCATTAAAGCCATAGTTAATAGATTGATAATGTAATTTATTTATTCTTCAAATACAAAAAGGACTTTGAAAGACCTTTTATCAAGTTGAATGTTTGAAAGCACATAAACTAGCACATCTGAGAACCTATAGTCTCAACCGCTGCTGTATGTTGCACATATAAATACAAACACTTCTGTGCATGAAAACGACTTTGGAGACTCGGACGCTGACGCGAAGTTGGCGAAGTGCACTCGACGGAAAAACAGGGTGACACAAGCGGCGCCCCCAAAAATGGAGTTGGAATGGAGTTTTTTACAAGGGTCAAAAGGGGTACAAGTATAACCCTTGCAAAGACCAAAATGCAACAGCGGCGCACGTGTTGCACATATGTGGCAAGATCAAAAGTTGGCGAGTGGCAGACAATTACTTCGTTGGTTTTTCAGAAAGTATAAAAAGCAAGAGCTGCCCTGTCTCGCGGAGAAGTTTCTCACTTACAATAGTAAGTAAACAGCAATGGTTAATAGTTACTTAGCAAGTCAATCGAACTTTTTCAGGTAACTACTTAGGCCTAATGATATTGCTGTGAGAACTCTACATTTATAAGAAAACACTCGTGTGGAACCTTTATTCTTAATCGACTTCAGGTCTCCGAAGACAACAACTCAAGGTCTCTGAGTTGAGCTTCGAGTCTGTTTCTCATAGTCACAGATCCATAGTTAAGTAGTAGGCAACGGAAAAACCAAAAATTCGGCTTGGCATCTGCGGAAAAGAAGAGATGTGACCAAGCAGATAATGGTTGTGGCTTCGAGATTTCGGAAAATGGGAGAAATAAAGCATTTTCCTTTCGCTCGCTGATTTATAGTAATCTGCGCCTATTATTATTCTCTTCCCTCCGCGCTAAATGCCTTTTCCTTTTATTTTTTAGCGAATGTTTCCTTTTCTTGGCATTTTATTATGTGTTTCTCTGTACTTAATTTTCGTTTTTGGTCTTGCCTCAATTGTCTGGCTGGCACTGCATAGTTTTATTTCTTATTTCCCCAGTCCTAGCCCCGCGACGGCCTCTTGGCTCCTAATAATTTTATATTTAGCCGCCGTTTCTGCCTCTTCAACTTCTTCAAGAAGAGCGGCAATATAAAACAAGAAGCCCACAAAAATCGCAAACGGCGAAAATTAACCAGAGGCGAGCATTTCGTGTGGCACGATGTGAGAAGTGCTGGGGATCCGCTTCCACTTTATATATAGAATTGCAACAATGCAGACACGGAATCCCGAAGAGAAGAACGGCCAGCGAAAGAAGCCAAAGTCTTTTCAGACATCGAAGAGTTTGAAAGGAACCGATGGTTTCGATAACTCGGTAATTGCTAGCCCAAAAAAGGGAAAATAACATCTAAATCCAATAAACAACGCAATTGTTATCAACCGCGGTCCATTGCAGACTGAGAAATTAGGAGAGTTTCGCGGATTGAACAATTAATCAAATCAAGCTGCGAAAAGATTTACATTCAGATGCGGATCCGATTCTCTTTCATTCAGTTGAGACGTGAATGCGATTTCATTATTTCATTAGACGAATCTGGAAGCCTTAACGAGGGGAAAGTGCAAATTTCACGATGCCCCGGGATCTACGTACTCTCTCCCTGGCAAATTAAAAACATTATTAACACGCGTTCGCTGATCGACTAATTAACCAGGGAATCCAAAACAAGCCTCGATTTGATTTTGATTTGATTAAGGGCACAAATTTGCGAGTATATTTATTGGATTTTTTCTTTGATATTCGATATGCGTAGTTAGCGTCGAGTAGAGGTGGCAGCTGCTGTTAATGAGCTTTACTGTACCCCCATTTCGTTTGAACATCTCGCATTTCGGCGGCATAAGTTCGTGACTTTTTTCTGTCGGCCAATGGAGGGATTCATGTCATATCCGCATAATGAATTTGCATTTTGGCCACAATTTCTCAGATCTGCGTAATTTGAGGCGATTTACTTGCAACATTGAGGAAAAAGCCAATGAGTGATTGGAGAGCGCCTAGAAACTGGGCTTGCAAACTCATCAAATTTGATGGACGCAGTTATAAGCATTGAATATCATGTGTTCGTTATGATCAGCAAAATAATACTGAATCATATATCATTCAGGAGATCTGATCAATTATGAATAATGAAGACATTGCTATAAGCCGCATTCTAGATGGCCATTTTGTTTTCTCATTAATTAAGTTAAAGGTAATTAACAGGCTAAGATGTGGAAGGTAGAAGATATGCCAAAGATTGTCTACGGAGTAACAGCACGAATGAAGATTGAAATCATGAACATCATTAGATGAAAAATTCATTAGAGAAATGGCTAAGCTAAGCAAATAACACTACAAACGAGGCACCCGAAAAACGGAGAAGGGGAATCGGAGAAAGGTCAATCGAGGTTTGGAATCGTCATCGTCGTCATCAGAGGTGTTCGACCAAAGTTCTGATCGAAATATTAAACGCTGTACTAAAATGAAAAAAAAGGACAGCTTCAAGAAGAAGATGTCGATTGAAAAGGCAGTCGAAAAACAAATTGAAGCAAAACAGAGCCAAGAAAAAATACAAAAACTAAATTTGTGAAACCGTTATTATCATGTCGTGTTCGCCCCATCTTCCTCTTTCTCACTGTAGCTGCCTTTTGACCAGGTCGATTATGAAAGATACATTTTGTATCGGCATCTGTATCTGTGGCTGTGCATCTGCATTGGTATTTGTGCTTTTCGGTAGTTGAGTTTTAGCCATTTGTTTTTGTGTGATTTTTACACATTTTTCCTGCTCTTTCTTGTTCGGTGATTCGATTCGTTTGCATTAATCCAATTTGCTGCTGCTGCTGGCGACTTGTTTTAATTCATTGTGTGTGTGTGTGAGTGTACGTGTGTATCGAGATATGCGGGGGTGATAATTTAATTAGCGGCATAACGGAGGCGCCTCAGTTTTATCGATATTTCAGTACAATTGCCTATCGCGAGGTTCTCAATTATCAAGACGCATTGCTAACAAATTGGTTCAAAATTAATATAAACTATTGGATTAGCTAAAAATATTTTTAAAAATATATTATCTATGTTAACTGAATTTACTATTTACTGTATTTATTTAAAACATTCCATTCTAACTTCCTGAGCAATACGACATGAATTAAAATCTTGGTCTCATAGCGTGCATAAACAAATTTGTATTGTATAACCTCTTGGATGTTAAAATCGCGTCTTCAGCTCCAGTTGTACTTATTTCCCCATAAAATTAGTGCCCCGCTGCTAAGTGTTAAGTGCTCCCTGGGCAGCTAAAAAAAAATATAGAAATAAGTATGTAGGTCTGCGGCCTAAGTCTCGACTAATTCAAAAACTGTAACAAACTGGCCTGAAACGAGAGCGAAAGGCAGAAGAAAAACCTAAGCAGGCAAAAGTGCAATGCCAACCGCATTCGTATTTGTTATTCACATTTTTTCATGCCGCCCCAAGCATATTTACATGCATACATACATACGTACTTTTACTACAAAAAGACACTCATGTCAACCAATATAAGAATAATAATTTATAAACAAGAAATAGCGCCATCCGCTGGAAAGACCATTCATAAAGGCTTTCAAACGGCAGAAGATCCTGAGCATAAGAAAAGGCAAAACACTCTGTTCGTCCAGGAATAACGGATCTAACAACTAGTAAACAATCGAGAAACGCTTGCGCCTACACCATCTCACTCGCACCCACGCAAACAGAAGGGAAAGAGAACATTTCACTCACCTTCTCCTTTTTGCCAGTTTTTCACAGAGAGAGAGCGGCAGCCTTAAGTGATCCTCCTCTCTTTAGGTCTTCCAGTGCGTTTGCGCAACAACTACAACAAATGCGATATTGGAAGCCTGCGCTGGTGCTGCTGCTTCTTAAGTTGTTGTTTCTGTTGGGAATCCGGTTTTTTGTTATTTTCTTTCAACTTGTTATTTCTTATTTCCCCTTTCTTATTTGCCTCTCCTCTACGTTTTGTTGTAGTATTTTCCAAAAAATAAAAACAGCACACACTCACTCGAAAAAAAATGAACCGTACAGGAATTCCTTATTTCTGCATTTATAGAATTTTATTATTATGTGATCGATGCAATAAAAGAAAAAACAAGAACAAGTACACTCACACACGCGCGCTCGCAGAAGGAGAAGAAGAGAAAGAGCGATAGTAAGCACGTGAAAAAGAAGCCTTTTACGTTGAGTTCTCCTTCTTCGCTGTCCTTTTTGACTAACTTCTTGTGTAAAAGCTATTGCAGTTTCGCGGTCAGCAAAATGTACAACGAAAGAGAACAAGGAAGCGAGGAGTAAAACTGGAGAATCGGCAGCTATCGCAAATTCGCAACCAAGAGTGACGCACCAGCACACGCGATTATTTTTAATACAAGTTTTCAATTTCTTTGCGGCATATCGAGATCTGATCTTCTATTCTCCACTTCCCTGCCCACTTACCCGCTTTTCTGCGTTTATACTCCAACGGATATTTGTCAAGAAATTTTCTATAACTTTAGCTATCTAACTTTATCAGATTCAAGCCAATTATTCCAATGGTATTGCTTAATGAATTTCGCTCTGCTTTTTGGTTGTAACACTGAACAGAATTTGTGATATTTTATTTGAATTATTTTCTTTGCACGACGCGTTAATTTATTCGCGATTTGTTATTAATATTTCGGCTGGTTATTTTATTTCGTTTCGTTTTGTGTAATCCACTAGTGTCTCACACAAGTCTCGTATTCCGTTCAGAATTTCAACAGCACGCGCGCCCACGTCCGCTTCCAGCGAAATGTAAAAAAAAAATGGTCTCTGCCTTTGCTCGCCCGCTGTTTTGATGGAAACCAATAGAGAGAATAAGAGAGTCGGCGCTGGCGAACGAGTCTGAATCGTTTAGATTTTCGCTCTTTCTGTCTCTGCATGTTGTATTGCCGACATGTCGAGAGAGATGAGGATGCATTTGAACCTTATTAAGCCGAACATGTTGAATGATTTTGGGTGCTTTTTCATATCGCGGCACCGGTTTTCTTGCCATGAAACCAAACATGCAACTTCAACCAACCAGTTCGAACTCGCTTGGGCAGATACATACTAGGCAAACGGCAGCTATAGAGGTTGAATGCAACATGTTCGCAAACGAAATAACAAGCTGCTTTTACTTGAGCAAACATAGAGGTGTGTTGCTTTAGCCGCGCTATATGCTAAGTTTTAAAAATTATTAAACACGAAACATAAATATACTCTATACTATACTCTATATAAATTTTTAATAATTATTTGAAAGAAGCAAATTCCTCCTTAATTATAAAATAAAACCATTTTTGTTTTTAAATATGAATAAAAGGTAGCCAAATAGCTAAACGCTGCGCGACGCGCCATCACTAATGCCGTTCCAACTGTTTGTTGCGGCTCGAATGGCGTTCGGGAGAGTTTCGTTGCAACTTCGTACGCGTGCGTAACAGCCGGTTTCAAGCGCAACAGTTTGATTATTATTGGATGCCTCAAACCGCTGGAGCGTCGAGCAAGTTTGCAGTTAAGGGAATCTATGTTAAGTTAACATCTACTTGTGGCCGTAATGGTTATTAATTATTGGTCAACGCAAACTACAAATCTTAAACAAATAGATCAATATATCAATAGTGGATATGCATACACCTTACTGAATTATGACTTGAACAACAGGTTTTCGAGACGTATTACGTATTTATATAATTCTATGGTACTTCGCACTAAGCTTAGGAACTAAAATATTATCCACAAAAGCTTTTTAACCAATTTTTAATTCAAGTCCAATACAATTTGGTTTCTAAAGATCTTCCCTATTCTAAGTAAATTGAAAAATAGTCCTAATCAGTAAGAAAATTTTAAACGCAGCAGGTTAAGTGTAAATAACACGGGCATGGAATGACCACCTCCAGCACCTGTCATTAAAACGACCACAAATATTTACCTTTATATATATGTTGCGATATGCATATAAACTTCAAGTTGTGTTTTTTACTTTTTTACTTTCTGGGCCTTTTGCACTTGACTTTGAGCCACTACGCGTACTCGTTTTCATTTTCGTTGCGTAATTAGGCGCGCAGTGCATCACAATTGGCATTTCAATTTCAATGTGGCTACAACGAAGCAACAACACTGTTTGCCGACCTCCGAGGGAGGCCCCAACCCTCGCCACCAAGGTGAAGGTTACTGGTCAAAAACGGTTAGCTCGATTTGCGTTTGCGTTCTTTACTTCGTTTCTACTTGAGCTGGTCCCCACTTCGGGCAAAGTGTATTTCTGAGGTATTTTTAGAATATCTACTAATTTGTTAATATATATACTTACGTTTGTCCTTGCAGCGTTCTCCACATGCTGATTTTTCCCAGGGGATTTAGCTTTTTGAGAAAAGTTGCTGTCTAAGTTACCTATAAATATAAAATTATAAAAATAAATTATTAAACCATAGCAGAGGCGAAGGAAACGCGTAGGGAGAGAAAGAAAAGCGCTGAACACTGATTAGATTTCGACCTAAAGGGAAGGCAATAGAGAGTGTCTGGTCATTGTTTGGACTTTTGCTTTCGGCGCAGAAGGAATAAGCGAGAATTGGTTAAAACTTAGAAAGTTCTTTTGCCAGAATGTTTAAGCTGTCAATTACCTTTACGATGCCCTTCACCTCTTGCCATTCTTAATCCCTATCTGCACTTTCCCAGCCATTCATGGACAGTTATAATAACTTTTATGATGATTTCAGCTTCAGCTGACTTGCGGTGGAAAATGAGCAGAAAATAAGGAAAAATCGAGTGAAAATTAAAGGGGCGAAACGGGAATGCGATTGGGAATGGGTTGCACTGTCTTTGTTTGTGATGCTTAAATGCAATTATGCATTTCAGGACGAGATGAGGCAGCAGGCATTTCGCTGGCTGGTTGATAAATAAATTAAATGCCAATGCGCCCGGCCAATGCAAAATCGAATTAAACAGTGTAAAAAACAACAAAAATTGGCACACAAAGCCAAAAAAAAAATGAGCAAAAAACAAAAGAGACATTTCAGAAACACCAAGCTTTTCCCCCGGCGACAAGGCCGTCCAATTGAATATATTAATGCAAATTAACCCATTAATGTCTGCCAATTTCATGCAGCAAAGGAGGATTAATCCGAAAAGAGGTGGAGGGGCTGACAATTATCCCAAGGGAATGCATTCGCGTCGAGGAAATTAAAGCTCTCCCGGATATTGAATGTAGTTTTATTGCATTTCCTATGCATCCCTGCCTCAGTCACACAGCCCTGGCAAATGGAGGCAGCAGCAGCTGGAAGTTCAGAATTCGCTCCACCGAAATCCTTGGCATTATGCCTACAATTATTAAATTAAAAATTGCCACTCACTGGCGCGCCACCCGCAACTTTATGCCAAGGAAATTCAGAGGCTCTTCAACATGGGGCGGGCTGGGGTGTGGAGTGGGCGTGGTTGACAACAATGTTGGCAGCTGCATGGAAAACTTGGGAAACTTTTTAAGTGACTTCTAATAGCGAATTATGATGCAGCCGGCGGAGAGGATGAGACAAGGGCAAATGCAAGTGGGGGCAGGCGAAAGGGGCAAGCGGGTGGGCAATTTTCAATGCAATGTGGCTTGCAAAAATGGGCGGGGAGTCAAGGAGCTGGGGGCAAAAAGTTCACGCTTAAAACTTGACAACGATAACTTCATTGAGGAGTGGAAAGCGCGGGTGGAGAATCAAGGGGATACGGAAGCCACACATGCCTAAGCGGCAGAAGGAGAGAAGATGAAGATGCACTTGGCTTAAACCGGAAGTGAGAGCGAAATGTTAACGAAGTTAGTTAGTTCCTTCCTTCCTTCCTTCCTTCCTTCCTTCTTTCCTGCTCTTCTTGATTTCCAGATACACTAAAGGAAATCAGTTTATGAAACCTGAGCTCTTCACATTCAAAGCTCCTACAAACATATCCTATTTCCATTCCATTTTGTGATTTCATTTACATTTCTAAACGGAAATCACATTTAATATTTATTGGAAATTGTTGCCATGTTAACTGTTAGACAAGTTTTTGCGAGTGGATGTGTGGCTTTCCATAATGACAAAGTGCACTCTGACATTATTATCATCATCAGTGAACGCATGTCGCCGCCTGCTCCCCACACTTTTCCACATCTCCCACCCACTCCACCGATTCCGAAGACCCCAAAAAGTTGCTCGTTTTAATGAATTATGCGTACATTGATAATAATCTTCTGGTTAGCTTCTGCGTCGTCGACTGCCATCCTCCGGCTCCGTCCTCCCGCCAAGTTATGTGCTTTGGCAATAACCTGGAATGGAACTAGCCGCCACTTGCCACCGCTTGCCACCAGCAACCAGCCACCTGAAGGCCTGAGGCAGAGTAGCGTGTTGCTGTCTGCACTAATATAAAAGTTTCGTGCACTTTTAATAAGGCTGCGTTTATGACGACAGCGCCAGCAACAACAAAAACAACAAAAACAACGAAATCAACAAATACAACAAAAACGACAAAGCTGCAAGGATGCGGCGAAGAATGGGCGCAAAGTTCCGGGGAATGTGGGCGGAAGTGGGTAATGGAATTCCGCTTTTCTTGCATCAACTGCATATGACGACAAGTGTCAAAAAGTCGACAGCAGCGAGGAAACTTTTTGGGAGCAAAACAAAACAGAAAAACGCAAAAGAAAGTTCAAAAAGTGGCTAAAAGTACGAAGAAAGCGAAATTAAGGCCGTGCTGAAAATTAAGTCAATGTGAAAATACTAAAAGCAGGCAGTAATAAGTGAAACGAAATAATATTTTAAAATCAGCAAAATGTGTCTAAGTTTTCCCATGAACTTCTGGACAATCTTGGGGAAATTCCTCCCTAATTTTCCCATATTCCTGCTGCTCCTTCGGCTTCAGCAACTCTTGCCTTTGTAGCCACTCCTCCGCTGAGTAAGTTGTTTGTCTAGTTGCTGTATTTAATCGCATTATATTTGCCCCAAAGGCAAGGGAGGAGTGGCACAGGTCCCTTTACAGTGGTGCCTGCTGCATGTGGACGGATGTGGCTGTCACGAAATGCCTGCCAATGCCAATGCCAATGCCCCTTCAAGCCAAGCCCGAATCGGAGTCAGTGTCAATGGTATTTTAATGGAGCCTAATGGACGCTGCCGCAAAATGGGTGGCCAAATGTGGGGGTGGTCGTAGGGGGAGAAGGCAATCAAAGTCACACGTTAAGAGAGAGCCAGAAACAGGGGGGCAAAGTGAAAGACAAAGACGAGGAGCGAGAGCTTTATCTTTATGAATATCGCGACACTTTATGAAGGCCCCCGAAACGACATCAGTGATAAAACCGTGGAACGTGTCCAGTGGGAAAAGGAAAAAATGGTGCGGGCGTGTCACGTATTCGAAAACGCGACAGAGACAAAGATACAGATACAGATACAGATGGCCACATGACTAGGTTCCATTCTCGGTTTACGGTTCCAGTTCCATTCGCTGATCTGAGTCTGAGTTTTGGTAATCTGGGTCGCCAGCTTTTCTCTGCCCCTTTCCATCGTTTGTCACCTCATTGTCTGACCTTCTGTTCTCCCGTCTCTGTTCTCTGGTCTCTGTTCTCGTTCTCAAACTCGCGTTTCTCCTTCGCCCAATCTTAATTGATTGAGCTTAGCGACCGCGAGGCTGCTAGTAAAAGGTTTGACACACTTAACATGCGATGATTGATGGCTCTGTCCCATGGTAATGCTTGCTAAACTCTATAAATGGACGGAATCCAGAGCCAGAGCGAAAGTTCCCCACTGTAAGTGCGGTTCAGTGTACCTTTGTATCTTTTCGAT